AACCACTGGAGATCCGCGGAATGGGTCATATGCTCGATACACTATTTTTTTTATGGCAAACAAAAGCAGACATAGAAAAACAGAAGAAGCGGTAACAGCAACATAAAGCTCATGTAGACGAGAATCTAGTCCGATAAACACGAAGGAAGTAATGGTTTTAACCTATTTTTATAAGTGGGTATCCTTTTTCCTCTTTTACAAGGCCTCATCCCCCCCTCATATTGAAGTAAAAACTTCACCCATTTGCCTCATCCTTTATCCTGTTCTCTGTCATTCCAATCGGTGCGTGGACCTCTCGTTTTCTTAAAGGGTTAAAGGTATGACGTACTGACTGCATCGTAGCAGAATCATCTCCGCCTCGGTGACGCTGTGGACCACTTCCCCCACGGCATCCACCCCACCGCCGTCAAAACGGACGAGATCCCCCCACCCACCTTCTCCCGCTCGCAGCTCCGTATCCCCCCAGGGAGAACCCGACGCCAACGGCGTGAAGACCACCTCGTCGCGCAAAGGAACCGGCGTGAGGCCGCCCACATCAGGACTATGGCCTCCCCCGGCCACCGGCGCCGCGCGCTCGCCCTGCTCCAGGGCATAAAACACCAGATTGCTCAGTGAAACGCGAGCCAAGGAGGCGGCCCAGAACTTCGTGGCCAACCACAACGCCGAGAACACCAACACCGCCCGGCAAAAGGGGGATAGGCCCGCAAAGACTGCCGCAGCCCGCGTCGTCGCCACCGATCCCTCGTACGGTGGATCTTGCGAGGGTTCAGGAGAAGTAGGCGGGCTCTTCGCGCTGGTATGGCCATTCGTTTCCACCGTTTCAGCCGCGCAGGCCGCACGATACCGAACCACATCCCGCGCAAGCCGTTCCTCTAGGGAGTAGACGTCCGTATCCAGCGCCGACGCACCTACGGTCGCGTCCTCTTCTTTGGAGCCATTCGAAGACCACCCTCCAAGTAGGTCCTGCAAAGTAGCGACATCCAACAGGGAAAGTAATTCCCTACGCACCGAATCCTCCGAAGGTTGACACCCTGTTCTAGCGCTATGCATGTGATCCTTCGTGATGAGGCGTCTTCTTTCATCCTCCTCCTCCTCAGCCCCTTGGGCGCACTCGCGTGGACGACGCGTGGCTGCCGCTGGACTTAACAGGACTGTTTCTAGGAACCGCGCGACGAGAGCCGCGGCGGAGCATACAATGCGATAATAGAGCACACGGCCTCCTTCTTTACCCTCATCGGTGGCATTGCAATCGAATGGTACGGGATCGCGACGAATTCCGGTGAAATCTAACATGTCAGACCTCTTTGGATCCGCCATTTCATCCACCGGACCCTGCACGGATGTGTAGGAGGGGTCGTGCTCAATAGATCGATCCACCTCTACTCCGGTGGAATAAGGCTGTGGGATCACGTAGCCGCCATCCACCGAGGACAATGCACTAAAGAACGCGGAACTCAGCTTGATCACATTCACATCCGCCCTACTTTCGGCCATCATAAACACTGTTAACACGAAGAAATCGCTTCTCCTCCTCCAAAGAAAATAAGAGCTCCCCTCCGTGTGTTTTCTCTGTTGTGGTTATGTAAAACCAAATCTGTATCAATTTTCAAAAATAATAACAGACGCTAATTGTTTTAACTCAAGAAATTAAAAGAGCGGTGTAGGCAATCTAATAAGCAACTAAATCATTCAAGTATGAATTCAAAAGAAAATAATGTTGCTAATCGATAGTAGCTTCGTTGAAACAAAACTGCCTTATCTACCGATGTACTCTTTAAAATTAGCTAATTGCGATAGGAATAAACAGACGGGAAAAGAAGAAAATTATTAAGATACTTTCAGGTAGTATTTTTCGAGAATTATTTTAAGAGGCCTTTGGCCAGAAGTACAGATTGTCGCAACCTCCCTCAGATTCCGCCCTGATACGCTCTATCAACGAAGAAGAGACAACCATGGTGCGAGAAAAAAACGGAAAATAAAATCACAAGATGAGTAGATGTTTATCAGAATTCGGAAACAAAAAGAGGTCAACCCCCACCCATGGACGGACAACTTCCCTCTCCTCCCTCTTACGTACACACGCCGATGCGCACCTTCTTCGCGTACACCAGCGTGAACCATCCTTTGAGGTTTTGCTGGCTTTCCATGAGGTTTCCACACCCCGCATCCACTCTGA